CTGACTTATTCAAGCCGTTGTTCATACTGACCAGAAATAAAACACGCGTATCTTATACTGACTTATTCAAGCCGTTGTTCATACTGACCAGAAATCCCCCCGTTGCTGTCACGAGCAACTCCCATATGCGTTTCTTCTCTTTGCCAAAGACAAACCAAAAGTTTTCCAACAGTTAGTTCCTCTTTCCCTCGCCAAGCCAACATGTGACCCAAAGACTGGAGAAGGTAGAGAGTTGGTGTCAGTGTCAGATGGAAACGGTATAGAACAGCTATGTTTTCTCGAATTGATTAAACAGTCGTTATACAAACCTTTTGGTTCTCACAAAGATCTACCAGACATCCTAAAATCACATTTTGCATCGTGCTAGGGCAGATCTGTGTAGAAGAAAAAACACGATAAATCAACCTTGAGGATTATATTCATTGGCAGTCCGCCACGAAAACCGGCCGACTTACCTCCAGAAGATCGAGGAGAAGAAATATGCCTTCATGTTCCAAAAACATTTCCTCTGTGATGTAGCATCCCAATATGGCAGACCTGAGTGAATATCCACACTGATCAATGTTCATTTTCCCTGTTAGCAGAGGGGGAGTGGATGGGGACTGATAGGCAGTCTCCCTCATCTCCGCCGCCAATGAAGGGAGACAAAGAGGAGAGACTGCTTACAGGGAACTGGTCATTGTCAGGGATTTGGTCGAACTGAACTAAACATCTAATTAACAACAATCAACATTCTAACAAGACAGACAGGCAATAAATAAAATAAATAAATAAATAAAAAACAACAACAACGACAAATAAACAATGTTTTCACTCTTGGTTTGAACAATTTTGACAAATAACATTGTCACGAAACAGGTCAGCCACAAGGTACTTTTTCTTATGGGGTTTTTATGTACCTGATCAGACCAATATAAAAATAACTATATATAAAATAAATGAGATTTAACAGTGGTATTTCCACAGAGTGGCTCTTCATCCACTGGTGAGATGGGAGCACTCTCTTCGCTATGCCACCTGTGGTACCAATATATATAAAAGCAGTGAGTGTTTCTTACCACACACAGTCCACGGTAGCAAGGGAAAGCTTGTGATATCCCAGAGGGCTGTTTATTCTGCTTGGACCTTTTTTCAAATACTCGATGGCAACTCTAACGCCATTGACACCAAACAGCTCCTTTAATCAGTAAACAGCAAGAAAACATGAGAACATTTCAGACTCACTATTTTGATACATTCCATAAACAATCAGATTGTCTCCTTCAATCTAAGCCCCTATACATGCGGCTTCACAGATTACTATTCTTCCCAGTAGACCGAGGCAGTTTTTTTATCGCTTTCGTAGCGTCTGGTATGTTAACTGCAAGTGAAATTTAAATCGTCCACGTGATGCCAATGTTCTACCACGTGATGCCAATGCTGTACCACGTGGACAAGTTAGCAATACTGGCAAGAGTAGTAGATATCAGCCGTTATTTCTGCTGGAACTCACTTCCCCCGTGAGCACCACAGCAAGCTGGGCATAAATTACCTTTCTATGAGGATCGCCCTCACAAAGCGTTGAAACAATAAAGAGCATGTCACACTGCATTTCAATGTCTATCAAGTCATTGTCATCTGAACTCGTACTTGCGTTCAAAAGGATTCCTGGAAAAAAGTGTTGATTCACATTTAAAGGACCCTTATAGGAGTAAGCGTAACCCAGTTGGTTAGTGCGCGGCATTAAGAGCTGGAGGTCCACCTGGGAGGTCCAAGGTTCGATCATCAATATCTCCGCCACTTCTTTTTTGTTCTTCTCTCTGTTTTGTGTAGCTAGGGCTTTAAATGCCCGTAATAGGAGCACTGATAGCCTGAGGGGGTAAAGGACGCACCTTCAAGCACTTTATATCAGAGCCCCTGGCGATATCTAGCTTAGGGGAATTGGACAACCACTCCCAGCGTTATCAAAGTAGAATAATTGCCTTTACCTTAACCCTTTTTTACCTGATTTTAACCCAAAAATATATATAAATTATAGAAATTTGTTTTCCATATTAATTACCCACACCATCCCACTGATTGCCGTGGATGGCTTCTGATATGACACTCAAGCCAGACAGTCATAGCAGATACATACCAACTAGTTGATCTATAGTCCCTTGGTCCACCATGTCTTGATTGACAGYATCATCTCCAGCTGAACACATACTTCGAAGCAACCTCAAACAGAAGCGCATTTGAGCTCTTTTATTACCACGACCACCACTGCCAAAGAAACTATTGCCATGGCCACCATAATCAGCTGAAAGTATATATCAATCCAATAATAAATGAATTAGGGTCGATGCTCCCTCTGGAAACGTCTTTCTTATTCCTGATCTCAACACAAGGTTTAACATAAAGGAGATCTGACTATGGGCCTACTTATGCTGAGGACACTGATGGCCTATTGTACAAACACAAAACTAATCTATTTTAGGCCACACCCCAAACATGTACTAGTCTCCCGTAATCCATGGGTCAGAGGTACTACTTTTGTACACAGCTATAATGTCACCTTCTATACACACTTTAAAACCGTGAAAAATGAAATAAAAAACACAATGAAAAATTTAAAAAAACCCAGCTGCAACAGCCAAATACCAAAGTATTCAAAACAACTGAATCAATACTAACCTTGACCTACACACCATTCCAGTAACATTAATAATCTAGTATTCCCCTGGCATGTCATGTAATCATCAATAGACAATGGTGCTATACTGGCCAATGTGTCAAGGGCCTGTAACGAGTAGAACGATTTCAATATCGAAGACACATACACATTATAGAAAATATCAGGCTGCATGCTGAATCTACGTGGCAAGAAAGCTAGTAGAGAAATGGTAGGTTGCAAGCAAACCGTGTGTCTTATTATCTCATGGTTTGTTTTTGAGAATGCTTTTTAACGTTTTGTTCATTTAAGCCATGATGAATACTATTTTGTGATTTTCCATCATATCCCTTGGTAAATAGATGTAATCCTCTGTTTTCCCATTTCAAAAGACGTGTTATTCACTAGAGTATTATTCTTTGTCCAATGCTTATGCATGAAGAGACACAATAGTATGGATGCAAACGAAGACTTCTATTCTCACTGGAATAACAAATGATCTGAATTGGGAAAATATTATGCCTAGATGGATTAAGTCCATTGCAAATTGAATGAGCATGTTAAAGTCATAAAAATCTTTACTCACCTGAAGCTGGAGCTCTTCAAACTGAGCAGGGGACCATTCCGTTGAAGATGGATTGTCATTAGGACGTACATAGGCCAATAATGCTAGCAACACACGCCCTTCAGACATAATCTAAAATATATTGCCCAAGTATAAATTATTATTAYCAAGTCTGTTTTCATAATAACGTACTGATCAAGATAACAGTCGACACRAGAAAATCAGGCAATGCACTGCCATCAAATAAATAAATCGTTTAAGTACATGAAGTACATGGGGACCGCTCCATGCTTGCTAGAATTCATCGAGTTAGTACATTTATTATAATCTTATTATGCAATATTGGCATGGAGGAGCACTAAAATAAATCACGAGTGCGAATACAGACAAGCAAATGACTGCACATATGGCGATAATATTATTGACCTCTGAAAAGACATTCCTAACCACTTGAAAAACACTAATACTGATTTTCATTTTCGACAAAACTAAAGTTAGCTTTTTTTCATGGATTAATAAAAACCGCTCTAAGACAAGCATTATTCTATGTTTCTTTTCTATATAAATGTTTGTAAATTATTCAATTTTTGAGCAAAATAAACTCTTATCTTTATCAAATATACAACCCTATAAATAACAGTGAAGACCGTGTGAAATTTCAATAAACAGAGGTGTACAGTGACTTGTTTACAGAATAAGAAGGTGCAAAAACAAACAATTGAAAAAACATATTACACACATCAAAATATAATCATCAAAATCCTCTGAAGAGAAGTGGACATTGTCAGCAGGTCTGATGATATCATTATGATCACTAAAGCACTTACATTCGTAGCAGTTGGATCTCTACTCAAAACTACCAATGCATTCATCATCAGTTTCTTCAGTTCAAAGTCTTCATGGTTCTATAAAAAAATATCAAAACAAAAACTCTAGTAGTGATTGATTCCTGCTAGTTTMAAACAGTAAGATGAATAAAAATTGTTGGATAAATTTCGAATTAGTAAATTGAGGAAAACTAGTGATCATCAGTCCCTTAGCAACCATCAGACCTTGGTAATCAGACCCTTAGCAACCATCAGACCTTGGTGATCAGATCCTTAGCAACCATCAGACC